GGAAGCAGACTATTGTTCTTTTTGTATCTCTTCTATAAGTTAGAATCTCCTTGAAACTGGTGAGAAACCCTCAAGTTCTGCATTTGTGTTGTGAATAGCCTCAGAGTCTTTTAACCGGTGTCTGCATTAGGTTTGGACTGAATGAGATGAATATAATCATAACTGGTTGGAGGTCCTGTTGGTCCATGTGGGAAATAAGATGCAGATATGAAAGACAAAGGCTTCTATTTGAAGAGAGCAAAGACCACTGATTTGAAAGAAGGGTCAAAGAGACCATCTCTGCTAAAATTGAAGATAGATGGGGGAGGGATACAACATCACCTATCTATCTACCACACAATCTTTTCAGCCATTCCAAGAAGATTCCACATCCATTTGCACTTTGATTCAGGTGACTCTGAGGGTTCAGATAAACCCCCAAGTGGCCTCAACCACTCTCAGAGAGTTAATGACCAGATGATTGCAAAGAATATAAATCTTTCCATTCCCCACTATTCAATCAGGACTGAAAAAGCTTCTTGGATGAGAAGCAAAACATTTTCAAGGAAAATAAAAATAAAAGTCCATTTGCCTTTTGGAACAACACCTTTGGGACAAAATATGCCTGACTTACCTTTTTTGAGGGACATGTTCTCATGACCTCACCTCCATCTCATCTCACTCCAGTTCTAGAAACTAGGTAGTCAATTTTAGTCTTAGTTTAGCAGCATGGAAGCCATATCAATTAATAAATGTATAAAGAAAGAAAGAACATCTCCTTTAAGATTGACAGCTCTAATTGGTAAGGATGTTTTCCTTTATACCTTAATTGAAGGATAGTTTTGAACTACTATCAAAGGTGACTGGCTTTGCAATGTTTTATATACTCTAGAAGAAACCTTTCCAGATTCATCTAGTCAGAAATTGCTTTCTTCATCAGAGATTTATTGTATTTTAACAAATCTAATAGAATAAAAAATATTATAATAATATTTTTTCTAAAATTTAATATGTTCATCATACTTTATAATCATGGATATATGAAAAATAATAATAATAATA